AATAATGCAATCCACCGCATCTACTTCATCCCCATCAGACAGATCCAAAATATTAAGTTTTAGATTTGAAGCCAAAAAAAAAATAGGGCAATATATAGGATAAACAGAGAATAGAAAAGAAAATTAAGTAAAATGTACAAAATAACACATCTATATCCTGTTATCAAGATTTTAGGCAGTTTCCACACCCAAAAACCTGTTGATGTGAAGTGAAAAAATCAGCTTCTCATCCCATGATTTTGTCTGTACAAATGACACCCTCTTGGTTAGAAATTTACAGCAAGTCTATAACACGAACCTAGCAAAAATAAGGATGTTAAGATGGATTTATGGAAATGTACACAAAATAGTGGAGGTGATGCCAATTGAAGATAAATTACGGATGGACCACTCATTTGGCCTCCTCAACAAAAGGCAGCTATCCCAATAGGACATGTTATAGCAGAGGGAGATTCCCCCGTCTGGGCATCATTAATATTCATTCCATTACATTCTACTTTTCTCCCTCCTATTTTCAACCACACAATCTTCCATAAAATAATATTACATATAAATTGAAAACTTTTCCTTCTTTTTTAACCACTTATATTTCAAAAAAAAATATTATTTCACCTATTTTCATTTCTACAAAATGGGGGCCAAACGGGGGCATAACCTGATATTGACATGGGATTTACAAGTCTAGTATTGAGTTTTTGAGTATAATATCCATGGTGATACAAACTTCAGCATTCCTATAGCTCAAAATTAGCATGGGATTTCCAAGTCTAGCATTGAGTTTTTGAGTATAATATCCATGGTGCTAAGAAGAATGCAAGTTTCAATGTCCCTCTCCATCATCTACTCAGTTTTAAGGTTAATTGTTGGATAAAATTCTCAAACATAAGAAAAGAAAATGCATCTAAACAACTGTCTCTAATTTCAAGCTTATCATTCATTTCTCACTCTGTCTATCTAGTTATACCTAGCTCATTTTGAGCATTTAGGTAAGATTCCATTCATGCAGCATTTCTTCAAAGGGAAAACAACCAAAAGCCTTGTTCCTAATATATTGGGGGTTCCCTACATGAATTGTTTTCCGAATCCTGTTCGGCTCATAGAGATACTGGAAAATTCAACGCAACTAGATCTTTAACAACCACATTTGACTTCTTCAAAGGGGAATCAATGTGAAAAATGCAAAAAAGAAGTAGAGTATAACCTCTATAAATTAATAAGTTTGGAACTGGGAAAATTTTCTATATATAATAGAGGTAATTGATTTATAGAGAATTTATTTATCCCATTAATCCAAGTTGGGATCGGGAAATTTAATTCTATAACGGAAGTTGTTAATTTACAGAGGTTATTTTGTATTGTTGCTGTCTAAATTTCCCTTTCTTCACCATAAATTTATGTGATGAGTGGATCTAAACCTCTTTACTAGATCATTCAAGCTCACAGAATGTAACCCAGATACCACGTAGCGGCACCATTTTCTACCTCTCAAGAAACAAGATTACATATGCTATTAATCAATTCACAGTTTAGAACTCCTTGTTAAATACAACGGTCTTTACTGACTTTAGAACAGGAGCTATATCAATTGATATTTCACAGCAGCACAATTTGCTGTTCATAGTAATTAAGCAATATTTAGATTTAAATTATTTAATTTCTTCCTTTAACTGTGATTTTTTAGGGAAAGAAAAATTATGCCCAATTTTGAAAGCACTCGAAAATTCTACAGTGAAGATTAAATTGTTATTAGTCATCAATACAGAAGTAACAAATCAACAGTGGATTCCACATCTGGGTTCGGCATTAAGGAACCGAAATTGGGTAAAATTCAGTTCCAATTTTAGATTGCAAAACATTTTCTAAATCCCGAATATGAACAAACAGCTTTAAACAAGTTTGGTCGTCTTACATCAGATAAAAGATACAAGAAGCCAAGCAGGCAGCAGACATCAGACCGTGTGAATGTATGCAATGCCTTTTTACTATACAATTTCATAACCTAAAATCCAAAATATTGATTTGTAGCGAGAGAGAGAACCTGTAGGAGACGTCTCTGATTAAAGATGAAGAAGTAGAAGACATTGGAAGAAGAACATCATCGTGAGCAGTCGAGGCAAAGTCAAACTCCATTTTATTACTTTCAGTACTTCCCATTATCATCCTCTCCAATAATCTTCGGGCAATCTGCTCCTATGCGTGTTTTCTGTGTGTGCGCGCGCGTGAGAGAGAGAAGTCGTGGGGTTAAGAAGACGGGCAGCAGACAGCTCCAAGAGGCTCCCAACGGTAACGAAATTTGGCCTTACAAATAAATAAGGACAAAAACAAAATTTTCGTTTACTGTGGAAATTAGACCCAACGGTCTAAACTCGAATAATAAAAAGTAATTGACACAAAACGTCCTTACTTTTTATTTTTTAACATTTTTATTCCTATCTTTTACCTTTCTTTGTGTTGAATGTCTTTTTCACCCATTTTTACCGTAAAATGATCAGTGTACCCTCCAATTTAAATAAAACAATAATAAAAAGAAAAGAAAAATAAATAACAAATTACAATTACAGGCATAAACTTTAAAAAAGTGCAAATCAACCCCAAACCCAAAATAATAAATTCAACTTCTTCCCACATCTCACCCCCACCCCCTGCTAGCCTCCATCTTACCCACCACCTCCCACCCCACTACGACCTCCACCTCACCCGCCATCTTCTGTAAGTTTGTAATTGCAAAAAAGCTACCAAAATCTGCAGGTAAGAAACAAATTAGACACATCAGTGCCTATGTTCACACCCACATAAGTCTCATCTTTATCCTGTTGT